CTTTATTTTGTACATCAGGAAGGGGGGCTAGGGAAGGGTAAGTGGAAGGAGGTGAGGGAGGAATGGGGTACGAGCCCCTGATGGGGAGGACTGGGCTGGCTCTGCAGGCTTCTGGGGGTAGAAGCTTTCCTGCAGCCCCCCAATTGTCCCCTCTCCCCAGATGGCAGCCTGCGGCAAGTGCAGCCGGTCTGATGGCCGAGTGCTGTGATGTGCCCAGTGTGGGCACTCAGGGCACTCCAAGCCAGGACTGCTTTGCAAGCGGGGAACCCCTGAGAACTGTCTGTCCGGGGTTGGGATCGGGTCCCTTTAAGCACAGCCCTCGGCTAGCCTGAGACAGCAGCTCCACGCTCTAAGTCCTAATCTGATGCCCTGCCGGCACTGCTTCCGGCCATCCTTAACCCCGGTTCAGGGTCCACTCAGTGTGGACATGCTAGTTCGAATTAGCAAAATGCTAATTCGAACTAGTTTTTAGGTCTAGATGCACTAATTCAAATTAGGTTAGTTTGAATTAACTAATTCGAATTAAGTTAGTTCGAATTAGTGCTGTAGTGTAGACATACCCTGACTTACCTGAGTCAGCAGCAGGGTCAAGAACAGAACATAGGAGTCCTCACTCCCCTGTACTGAGCATTCACCTACCTGATGTGAGTCCATATGAAGCCCCAGGGCTCCTTTCTCCAGCTGGGATCATGCTTTTCATCCACTTGGCCTCAGCAGGGTGATTAAACCTGAGGAAGGTTGACTGCCCCAGGCAGATCATGCACCCTGTGGGGAGAGAATGAGATAGAGCAGGTTATAGCATACAATGAGCATGGCCACTCTGGTTCTTGAGGGTCTCTTCTCCCACAATGCACCCCCAAAGGATTTATCACTGATCACACCCTAGCAGGCAGGAAGGTCTTCATGGCAACATACCAGTTGGGAGTCTAGCTGCCTTGTGAGAGCAAGTATGTTGGTGGAATCATTCTTTGTATCACTGTGGCACCAGGATCCCACTGAGCTAGACAAAGAATCATTCCCATTGCAATTTCTTTTCTGAAGTATCACAAGGAATTTTACCAAAGTCCCACCAAGATTTACACAGAGCCACGGCTAAACTCCACCTTTGGACACATGCTGTGGTCCTACTGCCCATATTGGAGCTTCACACACTGCTCCTGATAAAAGAGCCAAGCCTGACAAGCCTCTGGTGGCAGAGAGATGTCAACAGAACCTTTAGCCTGCCCCTTTATATCTGGCAGTGTAAACAGGGAGCAATCCAGTGCCAAATACAGGGAGGATGAGGGTGGACCTGGTGGGTTTTAAGCACATTGGAAATTTGTTTCTGGGTCACAGGACTGATGCGGGACTCAGAGAAACTGGCATGTCATTGTGGTCAGCAGGCACTGCAGGTAGTACATGCTGTGAAGGCACACTAGAACAAGAGCTTATGGTGCAGGACTAGTGCCTGTCAGGAGAAGTGAGATTATGAACGAATAGCTTGTGCACAAGCCTACTGAAAGTGGTTGGGGGGGAAGACTCTCAAACCTGCATACTCACTAGACCTATACGACCCACCCCCCTGAACCATTCACTTCTCCTGCATCAGACATTCTGCTGCTGTAATTGCTGCACCCATCTGTGATTCCCAAGTATGGGCAGAGGGAGCCTCACAAGGAAGGGGCAGCTTGAAAAAGAAGAGCCTTGTAGATTTTCAAGAGAGGAGCATGACAGTTCCTGTGCAAGGGAACACTGTGCTCCAGACTCAGATAATTGCTCTCTACAGCCTCTTCCCGACTTATGAACTGGTTACAGTCCAAGCAATTGGTCGTAACTCAGTTTGTTCATAAGTCGGACCCCATAGAGTTACACACGACCGTGTTGTTCATAAGTGCAGATCACGTTCGTAACTTGGAGTCCGCCATTTACGACAGCTTCGGTCGTAACTGCGAACAGCCGAAAGTCGACTGTTCACAACCCGGGGACCAGCTGTACTGCACAGCCATCTCTCTCCTGCCCGAACTGACATGGTGTCCATCATCCACCAAAAGAGCTTCAAGTCCAAGAGCAGCAAGGGAGATAAGAGCCAATTTGTACAGACATGATGCAAAAACCACAAGACTGGGGCACCACTGTGAGGCTGCTGTGCTGGGACAGGGCTGCTGATCGTGGTGAAGTCACTGCCCACCATATCCAAGAGTTCTTGCACCACTAGATCCTCCTTTCCTAAGGCACGTTGGGATACATGGCCTGGCACTTGGGATGTAAAATCCTGATTAATCCTGACACCAGGATAGCTGACATAATGACTGTCCAGAAAGGTGGCATGGGGCAGTGAATCAAGATGACTGGGGTTCAGGACAGTGTGATTATTATGGACTCAGTGTGAGTACTTTGCTTCTCTCTAGTGGGTCAGAGGCAGGGCTTACAGGGAGCAGGATATTTACCTATCTGTGTAAAGTGTTTCAAGGGTGACAGACGACAGGATACACACATGACAATTATAATTAGCCACTGTTGCTATGCCCAGAAGGTAGTCCCTGTCCCCACCATTCCAGAAACCTGAACAGCCCATTCAGACAGTGGGGAAGGAGAGAACATAAACTTGTACAAGCAAATCCATAAGCATGCCAGATTGCAGCATCCAATTCTTGCTATATACCCTGGTCTCTGAAATGATAGTACAAGAGCTGAAACGATAGTACAAGAGTAAAATTCATGGCTTCCAGTTGCAGCACTTCTTTCTTTCCTGACTGTTCCTGAGATGAGAGGATTCCCACATCTGTAAGCTGGTCGCAGGATGCTCAGGATGTGCCATACCAGATCAAATCATTTCCAGCAATTCCAGTTGCTAGCCTAACATGGAGGCTTCACCAGGAAGAAAGGACCACAAAGCAGTTGGGAAAATGTTGCCTGAGTGGGAGGTTGTTCTTCTTGACTCCCTACAAAAACCAGCACATGCTCTGAAGCATGAGCCACAGCTACAGTCATAAAGGCCAGTATCACTCAGTCAGCAAGGCCCAGCACTGACTCTGTCCATGGGATGGCACTCCACACACACTAAACGAGGAAGGTAACTTTTTTCACCTGTTTTTCACATCATCCAGCAACCCCCTTGCTCTCCCCTCACAGCACAGGAAGAGGAAGAGAGGACTGATCTCTCCTTGCCAGGCTGAGCGATGCAGGGCCTGCAATCTCTCCTGGAGGGTGGTGAGGCTCAGAAACCATGGGAACTTGCTCCTGGGCTCTGGCCTGACCACACGCAGGGCCATTTCTGCTCCAATTGCCTGGCATAGTCTACTCTCCACAGCTGACCCACGTGCTGAGTGTCTGTGGCCTCTTGAGTACAAAGGAGTGAGCAGCCAACAACTTGCCATCCAGCTCAGCTTCTATTGCTATTGACATGCTTGACCAAGTCCAAGAGGAGTGCCAACAAGTTACATTTTAGGGCAAAAATCTCAGCCCAGAAAAGACCAGCGCAACTCTGAAGCAGGGGAAAGTTAAGAGATGAAAGTTAAGCCAAACAGCAGGAAACCCTGTACCCATATGTTAGCTTTCTGCCTGTAGGGCAGCACTCTCAGGGATGATGTTCCAGTACCACAGACCCAGGCTGGCACTTCACACCTGACAGAAAGCTGCCACAGGATACTCCGAAGTCAGAGGCCAGCAAGCTATGTGACACCATGTGTGATACTGCCCCCAGAGCATTGAGGGGCCTGCATTCCCCTTCCCTTTGCTGTGTTGAGCAAGGAATGCACTGCAGAACATGCCTCTGTGACCTGCAGTGGGAAGGAAAGGAGCTTGAATGCTCCCCAGACACGCCTAGTTTGAAAGTACTTTGCCAATCCCCTGGGGAACAGTTGCTCTTCAGTTTCAGCCAGGGCTGAAAATATCTCCCCCTCTCCAGGGGATGGTTCTTCATATATGAGGGAAGAAACCTCTGTTTTGGGGAGTGGGATGTGCAGGGAAACACAACCATAAGAGAAAGACTGGAGCTCTCCTCCTTTTCCCCAGGTGAATGCTGTAAGCCTGAGCAGCAGGGCTAAGACAGACATCCAACACCACAAAGGACAAGGGAGAGAGCTCCACAAAGGACATAGCTCAGGGGTTCTCAAACTGGGAGTCTCAGTGTTATTATGTGATGAGTCGCAAGCTATCAGCCTCCATCCCCAAGCCTGCTTTGCCTCCAGCATTCATAACAGCATTAAATACTTTAAAACCATGTTTTTACTTTATAAGGGGGTGTCACACACAGTTTTGCTGTGTGAAAGGGGTTACTAATACAAAAGCTGGAGAACCATTGATTCATGTTCAGGCTCTCATCAAGCACAGAACATGCCAGTGGCAAGAATTCACAAGGCTTGGGGCATAGAGGAGCCCAAGCACAAAACTCTACCTACCTGTGGTACTGGCATGGAGACAGTATCACTATAGATGTTAACCAGGCCCTTATAAGACTTGGGGTTGGTGTGAAAGTCCAGATCGAAACATCCCTGGTCCTCTGCCCCGAGCACACCAAAAGACAGCAAATTAAGCTTTCTGGTACCTGGACAGTAGAAGGAGCATAACAGCATGCAACAGCACACTGGGCTGTTCAGCCTGGCAGGCAGAGTGAGCAGGTAGCTGTATGGAACTTGCCTTCACATGTCACAGGCAAACAACTGAAATCTTTAAAGCGATAACAGAACAAGAACATCCTGGGATCGTTCAAACATCTGGAGAGATATCCCATCACTTGGTAGGATGTGGACATGGAGACAGGCTGAGAAACAAATGCTTCTCCCCATGAGGAGTAGAGAGAGAATATACACAACAGTCACTATGTAGCCAAGCCTCTGTTCCGCAAGGCAGATCTGCCAGTACAGTCACACAAGAGCTGCTCTGGGCCTCCCAAGGGAGAGGACTGGCCTAGGGACCTCTTGCTCTATTGTGGCCGGAGACCCCTCATGTGACACCCCAAAAGCAGGACAAGAGCTCAGCACCAGGAGCAGCCATACCAGGAGACTCAGATATCGGGAACAACACATGCCCTCCAATGGTTCTTGATAAACTGACAGCCCATGCAGAGAGGTGTGGGGCATTTTTGCTCCTGTGGGACCCCTAGATCAACACTTCAGTTGATGGCAGATAGAGCTATCTCAGCAGAGTGCACAAGACTTGACTGAGACTTGGCTGGCCACACTGCCATGGGAGGCCAAGGGCACCTGAGTCAAGGATAGGGACGTAAAAGATTAAACAGTGAACAGGTCACCTGACAAGCCTTAATCTTATAGGCATGCTTACCGGGTAACTGGTTAATCAAAGGGCCTGGCCAGCGGGAGCAACCCTTCCCACCCAGGATGGCCCAACTGGCAATGTTGTGGCAGGCTGCAGCAGCCCCCGCTACTCAACGCCACAGCAAGCCAGGAGAGCCTCGCCCACAGCCATGGCAGGCCCAGCCAGCTGGCCCCCAGCCATGGCAAGCTGGGACCAGAACAACCCCCTGTCCGCAGCAGGTAACCAATGGGTTAAACAAATCATTTAACAAGTTAATTAGTTTAGTCGGTTTTTACATCCCTAGTCGGGGAGGCAGTGAATACACAATGGGCAGTACACCAAATAGCAATGACATCAGACAGTAACACTTCAGTAGATCTCAGATGTGCTTTGAACCAAACCCCTGACATCAGACACTAATGAGTAGGGCCTCTGAAGAAGGATGGGGAGGGAGAGTCAGAAGATGCTGAACTGGATGGAATAGCCTACTGAAATCACCTCTAGCATCCATCTGTCCAAAGTGATGAGCT